AATAAATAAATAAATAAAAAATAATACTTTCTGAAATCATCCTTGAATAATTTCTCCACGGGGTTGCTAGTCAGAACCTCCTCCCCAAGGGGACAAGCACTGCTGCATAAGGCGGCTGAAACCCTGGCGCAGCTCACAAGAGTCTATGGAGCATAAAACGTGACGGGCCAAGAAACTCACAGATGCACTAGCACTTAGACCAGCCGGGCACAAAGGAAGCCATCAGACCACGTTGGCTGACTGGGTGTGTCATGTGGTCGGCGGCTGTGATGGTAAGGCCACAGCAGCGCTGCTGACAGGATCTGAGAGGCTCCAGGAGAGCGCTGCTTCTTTGGTGGCCTGAACAGCCCTCCTGGCGATGTCTGGCCCTCTCCCAGGGAACAAAGCAAAACAAGCGTGAAGCTGGCAGCTCAGGAAGCAGTTTTCATTTCTGAGGCCTGCGACTCCACTTGGTCCTGACTGGGGAAGTGATAGGAACAAGGTGTCCCTTGGTGAGGCTCTGGTCCCTCTGCCAGCTTGGGGTGACGGCTGTGTCCCTTGCCTCTCATGCTGAGAATGGTGGAGTGGTAGGAGCCCTGTCACCTGGGGAGACCCTTTTTGTTCTTGTTTTGTCATTTTGAGACACTGTGTCACTAAGCAGCTCAGGCTGGCCTTGAGCTCACAGCCATCCTCCTGTCTTGGGATCCTGAGTGCTGGGGCTTTGCTCTTTAGTAACTGAGCTGGCTGGTCGAGGTCGCCTTCTCTGTCTCCCTGGTTTGGCCACAGGCCTCCCCTGCCCAAGGCCTCCTTTATGTCACACCCGCACTTTCTGGGGCTCAGCTGTGGACCCTGAGACCCAGAAGCCTTGGGGGTCGGCCTGCTGGTGACCTTATTTCCCCCCTTGCAGCAGAAGAGGAGCCTGTGGAGCTGGTGTCCATTCCAGGGCTGGACGATGAGCCTGCGGTCCACAGTGAGCTGGTGCTCTGGGGAGCCTGGGGGGGCTTGGCTGGACCCGAGGGGGGACAAGGGGCCACGTGGAGTGCATGCCTAGTGGGCAGGGGCTGTGGAGAGGAGTGAGGCCACTGGCGGGGAGGGAGGGACTTTATTGTCAGAGCAGGAGGTTAGTGACACAGGGGCGGGAGGCAAGACTGGGCTTGGGGGAGCAGCCTGGGGTCTGGGGTGCGGGGCGCAGCACGTTGCCCCCTCGCAGCCCCCAGCTCACACCCTTCACCTGCCCAGGCCTGTATGGGGCGCCCGGCTCCTGCCGAGGCCGCTGCCGCGAAGCCTTCGATGCCCACCACGCCTGCCACTGTGATGACCGCTGCCGCGAGCTGGGCAACTGCTGCAGGGACTTCGACAGCCTGTGCAGCGACCACGGTCAGTGTACTGCCCCTCGAGGGCCCTCTGGAGTCCTGGTCGTAGCACACAGCCAGGCTGCCCAGCTGGGAACCTCCCCGGAGGGAAGGCAGTGTGGACGTGCTAGACCACGACGCTCTGACGTCAAGGGCCCGGGCCCTGCCGGCCTACTCTGAGGCGTCTGGCGGGGCCCCGTCCTCCCTGGGCTCCCTCTGGCCCTGAGACCAGCCCTCCTGCCTCCCTCCAGGCGGCTTCTCCCATAGCAGCGACGGCATAACGAAGGAAGAGCTTCGGAGCATCTCTGAGAAGATCTACGAGGTGGACGCCAACAAAGCCCAGAAGGAAGACATCATTCTCAACCCGCAAAACCGCATCCCTCCGTCAGAGACTGGGGACCAGGTGGACCGCTGCCCAGAGCTGTGAGTCTACGGCCGCTCCCCGCTTGCCTGCTTGTGCTTCCTGTGACACAGGGGCCTGTGATGCCGGGCGTGGAGTCTGGCAGGGGCAAGGGGAGGGGAAAATGGCACCCCACAGAGGAAGTCTGCGGGCTTGTGGGTCCTGCAGGAGAGCTCCTGTGGCTGGTCAGGCTGAGCTTTGCGCTGACCTCCCGAGAGATGAAGTGCCAAGCCGTCCAGAGCCTCTGAACTCCCAAGCACAAGCCTTGGCACGACTCGGGCTGCCTGGAAGTTTCTGGAAGGCCTCTCAGTGGGTCTCGCTGTGCTTCCCCAGGCTCTTCACCTATGTCAACGAGAAGCTGTTCTCCAAGCCGACATATGCAGCCTTCATCCAGCTGCTCAACAACTACCAGCGGGCCACGGGCCACAGCGAGCGCTTCAGCACCCAGCAGCTGGCCGAGCAGGACACCTTCCTCAGAGAGGTCATGAAGACAGCCGTCATGAGGCATCTCTACAGCTTCCTCCATCACCAGAGTGAGTGAGCGCTTACCAGGCCCTGCAGGGAGAGCGGTCCGTGGGAGAGTCAGGCACCCCCAAGGGCTGGCGGGAGTGGGGGTGGGGGTAGCCAGGAAGCTGCGTACCTCCTGGAGGCTGGGGTCAGCCACAGCCCAAGGCCACCGCCGAGAGGTGCGGGATCCCACCGGGGATCTTCTGGCTTCTGGCTGCTGGCTGTCAGTCACTGAATCTTCTGCCTGTAAGCTGCCCTACGTATGCCCCGCCTTGTGCTTCAGTCTCAGGGTCCCCCACAGTGCGTGAGCCCCCCCATCCCACTCCCTCCCCAAGGCCCTTCTCTGCCTCCTCTGCCAATCCTGGGGTCATAATGCGTGCCAGGCAGGCACAGTCCTGCCTGTTTTCCCTCCTCCTGCTCCATGTCCAGGGGCCTGGGCACCTCGACACTTTTCCGGAGGAACAGGAACTAGAACCAACAAGGGGACAAGTCCCACCAGGAAGGGCTCTGGCTGGAACACCTCCAGACAGATATATGTATCAGAGTCAGATGGAAAGAGGGCTTGACTGTGGACTTGTTGGCTCAGGGTGGTGCTGGGTATGTCCTCCAGATCCCTTCCAGACTGCAGGCAGCTGGCCCTCATCCCAGGGGCAGCTGTGTCCCCGTGCCCTGTGTCATTTGCTGGCCTCTATAGAGGCTGTTTTTATTTTTAGGTAAAGCCAGGGCTGCAGGCATGTGCTTGCTGCCCCCTGGTGTTCGCTCTGTGCTCAACAGCAGACCCGCCAGGGAGAGGCGTGGCAGGAGCCGGTGAGGCGGACAGGCCTAAAGGAATCTGGACCCTGGTTCCAGGGCCAGAGCAGCGGCCACTGCTCACCCTCTCCTCCTGTACATGTCCCTCTCGCCCTTCCAGCTGCAGCTCAGGCGCCGCCACGTTTGTGAAGGCTCATGCTGGCTTTCAGCATCCCTCCAGGGGTGAGAGGCTAGGTTCGGGCCGGGAGCCACCGTCCCCACAGGCTTGGCTTGCTCTTGCTCCTGCTGCCTGCTAGTGGGCGCCTCAGCACTTCTGCTGCACTGTGCCCTCCACATTCTGGGTGCTGGAAGTCCCAGCCCTCACATCACATGCTGGTAGTACGGGGAGGTGAGCCCTTGGGGGGCAGAGTCACGAGGCACTTGCTCTTGCAAATAGATTTGATGTTGCATGGATCAGTGGGCTTTCAAAGGAGCAGCTTTGTTATAAAAAGAGTTCTCTTTGGCATGCCTGTCATGTCTTTCCGAGTGACACCCTCCACTGTACTAGGGTACAGCAAGAAGATCCTCACCAAATGCCAGCATTTTGATATTGGATTTCCCTGACTCCAGAACTGTGAGCTAACTAAACCTCTACCCTTTATAAAGTATCAGGGCTCAGGTATTTTGTTATAGCAACAGAAAGCAGGCTAAGACACCCAAGCGAGTCATTTTACCTCACTGAATCTTGTCTGTGAAATAAGGCCTTAGAGGATTAATGTTTGCAAAGCACACAATAGAAAACTGGCACCCAGCAGGCACTAGTAAGGGCAGCCACTCAGCTTCTGAGTGGCTCTCCATTATATATAATGTACATCATGCCTTGTAAGTCCCTGATAAGAGAGCATAAGAGATGTGATAAAAAAAATAGCAATTCTTAAATTTTAAAAAAATTATGGCAATAAAAGACACATTACCATTAATCTCCCTTAAACTACTCCTGCTCACTCAGAACACCCACACTCACCATTCCTGCCACGTTCTGAAGCAGTGCTGAGTGTCCTCTCCCACGAGTGTCCTTAGTCTCGTGGTCGTGGCTGCCTCCTTGTCCTGAGTGGGTTCAGCACATTTTCCTCTCGTGGTCATTTTGACTCCAGGCAAGAGCCAGGTGCTGCGCGGTGGCTGACCTGGCACACGTGAGTGAAGACACACGCAGTGTGTGCGCAGCCCATGTTCTGCTGGCTGACACTCAGTGGCAGCAGCAGTCGCTGCAATGTTTGTCACGCTGCACAAAGACACTCACGGAAGAGGCGTTCTGGAGCCGCTGTGGGGGCTCATGGATGACGAAGCGCATGTGCAGGTGGAGGGTGTCTGGAGGGAGACTGATGGCCATGAGTTCTTCACTATAGTTTTTTTAAAAATTTAAACATTGACTTTTTTTTTTTTAAATCAGACCTTGTATTTGAGTTGTCTCTTTTGGCTCCCCTTTGTACAGTTCTGGCCAGTGAGCAAAACTGGTTGGCTCTGACTGAACTCTCCAACCTAGCCTCTAGCCTCTGCTTTAGGTCTCAGGTGCCTATTAAACACCTCCACTTGCTACTGAACCAAAACTTAGTGTACAGAGACCCCACCTCTTGGCCCAGACCTGCACCCCCTGGGTCTTCCTCATCTCATACATGAGACGAGGGACTCACCCAGTTGGTCAGGCCCAAATGCAGGCGCTACACTACGCCTGCTGCTTCGCCTCACCTTACCGCTCCCTCCCCCAGCTCCTCTGTCAGTAGTGACCACAACTCCCACCTTCACAGGTTTATCCCAGTCTGCCTGCTCTCAGCTCCGCTAGGGCAGGACACGGCCAGCTTCCCACCAGGATCAGGTTTGGCCTCAGAACTGGCCTCCCTTCCCTCCCTCCTGTGCCCCCGCTGACCTTTTCCCACAGGTTAGTGGCCCTTTAAGAAGCAAAGCTCCTGTCAGAGAGTTGTGAAGAGACTGGTCTGCGATGTGTGCGGCGCGCAGCTGTGAGGGTGCAGGGGCACATCCACTCCGAGGAGCTGCCCTGTGTGGGCTTTGTAATCTGCCTGCCCGCGTTGGCCAGCTCTCTCCCCGAGTGATCAGTGCCGGGCTGGTGTGAGGGTGGTGCCCGTGCGGATGACGGGCACCACAGATTTGGGGCTCATGGCTCTGGAGATGGGGAAGTCCTGGAGGAGGGCTTGCCTTCTGTGTCATCCCATGGTGACAGCGAAGAGGAGGAGTGGCGAAGGGGCTCAGACTCATCCTGTTAAAGGAAACCATCCCCTTGGTAAGGGGATTACTGCTCCTCAGAGGTAGACGCAGCCCCTGCGCCCTCACAGCTGTGCACCGTGGATCGATCTCTTTAATAATGTCTGAAAGACACAACCTCGTAATCCAGTGAGGCCTGGGTAGTAAGCGTCTAGCAAGCGCTTTCTGGGGCACACAAAGCAAAATGCCCCTTGACCCCACCTCCAGTCAGTGGGGGTCACTCTGCTTCAATGTCTGTTTTTATTTATTGTGTATTCTAGGCTGGCCATGAACTCACTGTGTAGCCCAGGCTGGCCTCCAACTCGTGGTGCTTCTCCTGCCTCAGCCTCCTGAGTGCTGGGACGACAGACGTGTATCTCGCACATTTCCTCTGTATTGTTTCTTCCCTAGAATGTAGACTGTGAAGACAGAGGTCCTGTCCTTGCTCTTCTCTGCTGAAGCCGAGGCCTCTAGCTCTGGAGCGTACAGGTGCTGATGCTCCGAGCTGCCCTGGCCACGCTGCTCCCAGGAGCTGGCCCACTTCCCCTCTGGAAAGTCCTCCATCTTTCTCTCTCCAGACCGCTACAGCTCTGAACAGGAGTTTGTTGATGACTTGAAGAACATGTGGTTTGGACTCTATTCACGAGGCAACGGGGAGGGGGACTCAAGCGGCTTTGAACACGTCTTCTCAGGTGGGTCCTGGGGCCTGGAGCACTCTGGTGACTCTGGGCGGTGCAAGGCAGCTTGGGCACTGGTCATCAGCAGCCATCTGGCAGGGGACACATCACCCCAGGCCTGCAGGCCTGGGATTCTGCTCTGAAGGACGGTCTTGCTGGAGCATCTAATAGAGAAAGAGGCCAGGTACTGGGGCTCCCAAGTGAGCCCACCTGGGCCCCTCTGAGCAGCCCCTGCTTCTAGGGCTTGGGTGCTTGCTTCCGAGAGGGTCACAGACTCCCTGCTGCTCTGTTTGAAAAGCTCCCACCAAGCCTGGCTCGCTCCTGTGGAAATCGCTGAGATGCCCCAGAGTGGCCATGGGATGGACCAGAAGGAAGATCCCCAGGGAAGGGGACAATAGGGATGCGAGCAGCTCTTGGAGACAGGCGAGGGGCTGAGCGAGGGCACATTCTAGAAGTCTGAGCTGGGAGAAGGGTGATAGCCTTGGTGTGAAGTAGAAGAAAGGGCCTGGTGGGGAAGCCTCCATCACCTACTTGGGCTCTTTACTGCAGGTGAAGTCAAAAAGGGCAAGGTCACTGGCTTCCATAACTGGATCCGCTTCTACCTGCAGGAGAAGGAGGGCCTGGTTGACTACTACAGCCATGTCTATGATGGGCCTGTGAGTGCGGCGGGGGACGTCCCGCCCTTGCTCTGTGTGCACACTCTCAGGCTTGCTTCTAGTGGGTCTCCTGGGCACTTGGTGGGGGTTGTGCATATGAGGTCCTCGTGGGCCGGAGAGCAGGGTCAGCCAGCCAGGCAGTGCAGCTTTGCTCCAGACAGCAAAGGCTCTGGACTTACAGAGGACAGGAGGTCAAGGTCACCTTGTGTGTGGAGGCCAGGCCAGGGCGGGATTCCCAGAGAGGACCGAAGACAGCGCCCTCCCCACAGTGTCCTTGGAATGTGGCTGGAAGTTTCAGCGTGGCAGGTCTGAGCTGTGCCCCATACATTGAAAAAGGCAGGAATCTGTGCAGCCCTGCACCAGGAATAATCCAGGAACGACAAACTGTGCCTTCCATAGGGCACAGCTGTGTCCCTGCTGTTGGGGGTGGGGGCTGTGTGGACACTGCCTGCACAGGACTCTGTCTGAAGAGGCCAGTTTCCTCAAAGGCTCGACAAGCAGGGCTGCCTGTTGCTGTCTGACCCTGAGAGGCTGCACTCTGTGGCCCCAGCAGAGCTTGTGCTTTGCCCTTCTGCAGTGGGACTCCTATCCTGACGTGCTAGCCATGCAGTTCAACTGGGATGGCTACTACAAGGAGGTGGGCTCAGCTTTCATTGGCAGCAGCCCCGAGTTCGAGTTCGCACTCTACACCCTGTGCTTTATCGCCAGGCCAGGCAAGACGTGAGTACCAGGCCAGCCCCAGTCCTGGGCACAGAGGAGCCAGGAGCAGCGGGCGACCTGCGGGCTGCCACTTAGCAGCTGCGTGGAGCTCTGTGCTGGGCCTCACTTCCATCTGCTGACAAGGAAGTTAGATTACATTAGCAGCCAGACTTTGTCTCGGCAGCAGGACCACCTTCGTTCCTTCTCCCAAGTGAAATCTTATGCAGGAAAAAGAAACAGATCTGGGGCTCTGAGCCTCTCTGTTTGGTCCCTGAGGTTGTGTCTCTGTTTGGTCCCTGAGGTTTTGTGTGTGTGTGTGTGTGTGTGTGTGTGTGTGTGTGTGTGTGTGTAAATCCTGGAGCCCTAGAGAGCTGGTGACAACGGCCCTGGTGTTCTGTGTTGGGGACTTTGGGACCTACTAGGTCAGAAACACTCAGCAAACATTTACTGTCAGAGACCAGCTCTGGACTCTGGAAAGTTAGAAATTACTCCAAGAAAGGGGAGGAATGGTGTTCGTTAAGGAGACAGGTAGTAAGCTCTAGATCTTTTTTTTTTTTTGTGGGAACTGGGGATTGAACTCAGACCCTCACGCTTGCCAGGAGGCGCTTATTCCACTGAGCCATCTCCCCAGCCCCAAACTCTAGACCTTGGAAAGGCTTCCTGCACACGAGGGGATGGAGCCGGGCTGCTGGAAGCCCTGGTGGCTGCCTTACCAGTGGTGAAGGCTTTAGGCAGCCAGTGGCTAGGGACAGAGGCTGGGAAGTGTCGCCTCCCCTGACTTCACGACTTTCCCCGCAGCTGCCAGTTAAGCCTGGGCGGCTACCCCTTGTCCATCCAGACCTACACCTGGGACAAGACTACCTACGGAAGCAGGAAGAAGTACATCGCCACGGCCTACATCGTGTCGTCCACCCAGTAGAGCTCTGAGCCAGAGAGGGCCCGAGGGCTGCTGCAGCACAGAGGGCGGACTGAGGGCCTGCCTGCTCCGGACTGTGCAGGGAAGGAGGAGACCGAGGGGGATCCCCAGGGGGATTTCTGGAAGCACTCACGTGGAAAAAAGAAAAGATTCAAATTAGGAAATGCTGAGAAATAATCCAAATTTTGTCTTCTAGTATTTTAGCAACACGGACTAAGACTCAGACTCCAGACAGAAGGTGGAGACTGTGGGAACTGCTTGCACTCAAGTGTGGGAGGCCCGCGCGAGGGTCCTTGGACCTCCCTGGGCCGTGCGCCCCCCTCCAGCGTGGGGGAGGCTCTGCCCTCCTTCCCCTTTGTGGGGTCGCTGAGGGCGAGCCCGATGTCCTCACTGTGCTCGTCTTCAACTGTTCTCCGAACGACCGGCAGCCCAGATTCACGGTCACTGTTCCGGCTGTGACTGTCCCAGCACCGCACGCGGCAGCTCAGCCCCTGCCAGTGGCCTCGGAAGCCCAGCAAGAAGCCAGGAGGCGGCCTCTACCCGGGAGGACTCCACGGCAGGCGGGAGTGGTGTGTGGGCAGGGCAAGTGGCCTCCTCTAGGCCCCGCGTATTTCTGTGGCCAGAAGCTTCCAACTTGGAATCTAGTTAATAATAATTTTTGAAAGAATTCCCCTTATGAGAAGAAGAAGCTTTAGCAGCAGGAGCAGAAAGGAACCCATAGCTTGGTGTCAACAAAAATAATGCACATTAAACTCATCCAGCTGCTGAGATGGAAACCTGTAGGATTCGCTGTGGCTCCAGGCTCGTCCTCGGAGACTTTCCTCTGAGCCCCACTGCCCACCAGATGCTGCCCCACAGCGCCAGCCTTGCGCCCTGGAGGGGCTGGCTCTCCAACTAAAGTCATGTGAGGAACCCTGAAGTGCGTCTCTTCTCTGTGTGTGGTCCCTTGCCTGCCAGTCCTCCAGCTTGTCCCTGGAGCATGGCCAGGAGGGACACTGCTCCCTTCGAGTCCTTATGGGCAGCTCAGATGAAGCCGCTGGTGACCCACCCACTCTCCAGCCAAGCAGAGGCACTCTTTCCAGTGTTCCTGGAATGTGGGTGGGGGGAGCACTGTGGAGCGGAGGGAGACCCCAGCTCCAGGACCCCACCACTTACTCGCACGAGTGAGGAGCAGAAGAGTGCCTTGGCTACAGCTGCTGTGGCTTCGGGGTTGGCTGAACCAAGGGGACGGGCCACTCACCTGTGTACAGGTTGTTTAGGCCACAGTGCTAGGCAGATGCCAGGCAAGAAGGCACCTCTGCACTGGGTCAGTGCAGATGGTCGGAACAGGCCTGTCCTGCCCTTCCCTGCAGTGTCACCATCTGGGGGACACGGGGTCAGTAGCACACGATGGCCAAGGCACAGGCTCCAAAGGCAGGTTGCCCTGTATCTAGCCTGATTTTGTCACTTGCTGGGTGCATGGGCAAAATTATCATTCAGGTCAGCATTCTCCTTAGGGTACTCTTTACTGCTTCTTCCCCACTTCTCATCCAATCCCTGTTCCTCAGAATTGTTTTTTCCTAAGCCTTTACATTGAAGCATAGTTTGGCTTTTCCTCTCTCCAAACTTTTCTCTCTACAAATTGTGCAGCTCAGAGTTCTTTTTTTCTGAGAGTTAGAGACTCCTAAGCCCCTAGAAAATGAATGCTTGCGCCTGAAAGCACTGAAGACAAGAGGCACTTGCTCTTTCAAGCCAAAAATGGAAAGAGAAGTCAAGAACTCATTGGCTAGGTTGAAAGAAAAATGGTTAGAGTACAGTAAGAAAAGAGTTAGTGACCGGTGAGCTGTCTGTTTGATGGGAGAAAGAAATTAACCAGGATGTGGGGGCTGTGGACCCTGAGTAGGAAGAGCAGCTAAGATTTCCTGGTACCTGGTGTGGCAGAGAGGCAGGCTGGATGCATTACTGAAAGGCTGAGAGCTGCAGCCTTAGCAAGGGCACCACAGAATGGATCTAGGAAAAAGCAGGTGCCTCCTCACAGGTGCCCCTGCAACTGTGGTGGATCAGGGCCATGAGTGACTCCCTAGCTGCCCCAGAGCAACACTGGCATCTTGCTTTCCCAAGAGGAGCCTCAGCAGTTCTCTCTTCTAGTTCTGTGAGCATTCTAGTCACCACTTCCAATGTAGGACATCTACACCCGCAGCAAGGTTTTGTAATAACGTCAGGGGTGTCTGACAGCATGGCTGATAATTACTAACCCATTTTCCTGTTCACTACAATAACCTTCTGTCTCCAGAAAACCCCCACCTGATGGGGAGTTAGGACTTCTAGTTTCTGTCATAAAGTTAGTTTTTCAGCTTCCTCTGTTAGCATGGCTGTAGCTGCTATTGCCATTGGGCAGAAGTGGTCATCCAGTAGCCACCCCATGTAATTTTTTGGAAAAGCGTGCCACTCTGTGGAGTTCTTGTTCTAGCCGCTGGGCTAAGACATCCAAAGCAGCTCCCCTCTTTTCTGCTATGTAGAGAAAGAAGGGGTTTCTTGAGTCAGGTATGCCCAGTGCTGGAGCCTGGGGAAGGGCACACTTTATTTCTCTAAAGGCATTGCCAGCTACTTTTGTCCATTCTAGGGGCACAGACTTGGGGCCTCTGAGAGACTCATATATAGGCTTTGCCAATAGGCTAAAATTAGGTATCCAGGTCTGGTAGAAGCTGGCCATTCCCAGGAAGGAATGAGGCTGTTGTTTGGGTACAAGAAGCCCAAGATCACAGTAATCCTGGATCTGGTCCCTGGACAGCTTTTGTTTCCCAGGTGGAAGAATATATCCCAAAAGCGGAACATTTTGGAGGAATATCTGAACGTTTTCTTTGGAGACTTTGTATCCCTATTTAGCTAGAAAGTTGAGAGCTTGTATAGTGTATGGTTGGATAACTCTCAAATTGGGCTGCAAATTAGAATATCATCTGCATACTGTTGGGTTTTCTCTTAGATAGTTGGGGGAAGTTAAAGCACTGCAAATTGTGACGACAGAAATAATTCTATTTTTTCTCTTTTGACTCTCCTCCAGAGGAAAACAACTAGGTTGTAAGTCCTCAAGATGACGCCCCTGCAGAAGGAGTAGAGTTGGTCTGAGTCCACGGGGTGTCCCTTGGGGGACTTAAGTATTCATGAGACAGACTTCTCTGCCCAAAGCTGGGATGATGCCAGTATCTGTCATAGAAACATGGAAGAAAGCCCTACTGAGGCCTTTTGTCTCCCTGTGGAGCCCGCCGACTCCTTAGGGACAGGGATGTGGAGCCACCTGATGGCCCTACGCACCACTGGAAATGTCCCTCCCCACTGGGACTCTCTTGGTCACACTGAGCTACCTGATGGTTCTGCTTAAGCAGGGTCGAGCCAATTGAGAAACAGGATCTCTTGCATATACCCTGAAAGTACAATTTTTGCTCCTCTGTTGAAAGGACTACAGACACAAACTTCTTTTAAAAGAAAAAACCCGGGCTGGTGAGATGGCTCAGCGGTCTAAAGCACCTACTTAGAACAAGCTAAACTAAGCAAAGCACAGGGACCGCGGTTCAATCCCCAGCACCACATGCCAGCCAGCCCTGCCCCCTGGTGGGCTGAGCTGGCCACACACACGCGCACACACACACACACAAACACACACACAAATAAAAAAATAAAGTTTAAAAAAAAATAAAAAAAAATAAAAAACCCTTTAAAACTACCAAGAATTGACTTACAGTCACTTGAGTTAAGTTTTACTGACTCTTCTTTTGTTTCACACAGGCCATAAGACACGTTTCTAAATAACCTGGATTTTATTAGAAGAAATAAAGAAGGATAACATGGTGGAATCCACAAGGCTGATGTAAAACTGGGTGGCCAATCAAGTGACAAGACAAGATGGCAGCCAGTCATGTGATGACACAAGAGGACAGCTAGTCATGTGACAAGACAAGAGGGTAGCCAGTCATGTCATGAGATAAGATGCAACCCTGACTTAGCACCCTCAGAAAATGGCCCTGTAGGAGAAAACTGAGTATAGGACTTTGAGCACAAGCACGCAGATTGGGTGTGGCTAATCACTCAGACCGCTGCAAAACTCAGACATCTAAGGATACCGGAGGGTGTGACCCTGCTTGTCCAGTGCAGATATACAGTGGGATACAGTTATGTGGCTGTCACTTAGCACAGGCAGACAGGCATGCACTGGTTGTGGCACCATGTGACAATGGAAATAGGCCATAACAACCTATATAAGAATTACACAATTAATCTGGGTGTGGTGATTCATGCCTGTAATCCCAGCTCTTGGGAGGCTGAGCAGGAGGATTGTTGTGAGTTGGAGGCCAGCCTGGGCTGCAAAATAAACTCAAGACCAGTCTGAACTGCATAGCAAGACCTTGTCTCACAAAGACAAAAAAAAAGAACTGTACAACAAAGATACAGGCATCTCTCATGCCGCTGTGCTCCTGAGCTCTTGTGCTCTGTTCCATGCCGCCCATTGTTGCTGATGTCTTTTTTTTTTTTTTTAAATGTATTTGGTTGTTATAGTGTGTCACTATTCAGCTCGGACTCATAGTGATCCTCCTGCTTTCAGCCTCCCCAGTGCTGGGATTACTGGTATACGTCACCACGCCTGGATTCTGGCTGGCTTAGCACACTTGGGGGTGCGCTGGTGTGGCATGTGGTGCCGGGGATTGAACCACAGTCCCTGGCTTTCCTAAGCTTGCCTAGGCAGATGCTTTAGCCCACTGAGCTATCTCACCGGCCCTGTTGCTGATGTTTTGCACACACGTGTTCTTCAACCTTGGGACCTCACCCTGGAGAATCTCCCTTGGGCCCCTCAAGGGGGCTGGCACTGGGTAGGGGCTACTCAGGCAGGCTACCGAGTTACCAACAGATATTTCTGCCCCGAAGAGTGAGAAAGCTGAGAAAAGCACCTCAGAGTACAGAAGCAAGAAGCCCAAGAGGCCCTAAGCTCTGGCTGCACACGAGCCAAGGCACTCTGCCCTGCACCTGGTTGGTAACAGGCCCTCTGGCGGTTCTTCGCTGTTAAGCCTCAGTGAGTGATGCAAATTAGGAAGAAGAGAGAAAGCGAGAGTAGCTTCAGGCAGGCCTGCCTATAGGCCTGCTTTTGTTGGAGGGAAAACCAGGAGGCCACCAGTCCCTGCCCACGCCCACATGGCGGGAAACAGGCTACAGTCCTGGTGCCAGGAGAAGAGGCCCTCGGGCTTCCCAGCTTGGGTAGAAAGACTGAGAAACAGCAACGACAACAAACGCTTCATGGTATTTTAGAGAGAAACAAGCAAGCAAACAAAAATAGGCTCACAGTGCCTTCCCTGTCTCGTGGCTGGCTAAGCCAAGTATGTTACCAGCTTTGAGGTGCTGGAGTCTCTTTCTGGAGTAGGTCTCTAGGTTCTTTCTGTCCCAGGCAAAGAATGTAATGAAACAAGCATAAATGGCAGCTAGGTTTTATTAATGGTAGGAAAAGAAATAGGCTTTAATAGGCTTCCAAACTACTTAGAATGTCATCTACATACTACTGGGTGGTTCCTTGTTTAAGCACGAGGTTCCTTAAGTCTTTACTGCCCAAGTAAAAACTTAAAGGCTGGCAGAAAAGTGAGGCTCTGCAGAGTGCATTTGGGCCAAGTAAAAGCAGGGACAGAAGTGTGCCCTACAGCTGGAGGGTGGCCACCGTGCAAGGGAGAACACAGAACTGGAACAGGCGAACGCCCCAAACAGAGCACTCCAGATGCCTCCGGCACCAGCAGCAGAGCCAGCGGAGGCGCCAGGCTTCCCTCAGGGCCAGAGCCCAGCTTCTTCCTCTCCTCCATCCTCTCCCAAGGTTGCTTCCCCCACCCCACTTCTCCATCCCCCATTACCAGATGAACCCAGCCCTGCTGGTGTCACGTGGGGGCAGGGTTAGGGCCGGCTCCTTCTGCCGGTGTGGGCTCGCCTGGAGTAGACAGGAGCGTGGACAGCTCCCAGGGAGCCCAGGCAGATCACGGGCC